ACGGAAAGTTTTGTAGGTCATATGTCCTGAAATGTCTAATGTACTGAAATAAAACTAGGTCGATTGTGGCTCTTAAAAACTTGTGATCAGACGATGTTCTCGACGACCCTATTTCTAGGTTTCCCCAGTTTATACAGAGTGCATTAAAGTTATCTACTATAATGCTTTTACGCCTGTTTGACCAGGAATTGAGTTTGTTCAAGAGTAAGTCATCCACTACATATTCTGGACTGCGGTATATTACAACTTATTGAATGTCTTGCAATTTGCATTTCACCCTCCAGCGTACCGATTCACATGTTTGTGACTAGTGCACCATTGTCTCGACAGCTCGTATGGTTAAGGTGCTTTTCATGTACAGGATAACTACCAAAATAACTTCAGTTTAGTCTGTCATCCGTACAAAGTAAGAAACCAAGTAATTAGGTTTCACCATCGTAAAATCCTGACATTATGGGAAGTGTCTAAAGACCAAGGAAATCGACTAACCTACGAATAAGTAAGTTGCTCAAAAGGTCATTAATTAAAGTCTGAAGTGCACATAGCATATGACATGCTACAGACCAATATGAAAGATTGCTTGAACTGGTTTCAGATACATATCGATAAAGTGAGATGTCTCTCAATCACATTTTATACAGAACTAATGCTTAGAACAAAAAAGATTTTCAACGTAAATTTGAAACTAATGGATAGTATTTCCTAATCAATAATCTAGTGAAGATAACATGATTGTTTATCAATAAGATAAGTATCTGCGAATGGAGAGATTTAAAAATTTTGGTTAGTAATTCAAAAAATCCTCAGGTCAGTACATGTACTTTATTGTCTAAATATTCAAGGTAGATCAGTGATAGTGTGGTGTGTGCTACTTATATTGACATAAGTAGTTTATGATGTTAGTTGTGAACAGAAAGTCTGGCAGCAGAGAGACAAGAGGATCGAACGGTAAAAAATGGGAACAGAATGCAATTTGCATGAAAATGCAAGAATAATGAAGTCTGAGTCATTTTGAGACAATTGGTGGACATTTTGCAAATTACGTATTTACTTTATGATTGTTAGATTTTATTAAGAAGTCCCCACTCGTGTTCTGTTCACTACAATGATATAATCATTTGCGTTCATAATAAGCATAAGATTACAACTTAACAGATTTTAAATGTACTAACTAACTAAAAGCAATTTACATAGGCTAGCTTTTTTGAATTTGTTCAGATTCATTACTGCATGATTTTAATAAGTTTTTAGAATAATTAACAACCAAAACGCCGCTTTACCACGTTTTATTAACCAGTTATAAATTAGAGGTTTTAGTTAATGTATGGGAGTGTTAGTGTAAATAGAAAATCTTAAAGGTAGAAGAGAAACAATTTTACCATTCGATATTAAGACAAGCAATCAAACCCGCAATTCAAAGAGTAATACTGTTTTCATTTTAAAAATCAACAATTACGAAGAAACAATAGATTTATCCATAACAGTTTATTCTTCACTTAGCTGAGAGATGGTTAAGTAAGTAAAATAAGGTAGCTTAAGTTTTTTTTACATCTTCTATTCCAAAAATATAGTAAGTCATTTAACAACAGTGTTGAAAATCATCGAAATCAAATCAGTTTATACAGTTGATATTTGACATGGAATTTACGCTTCGAATGAATGGAAAGTGAATCATTATTAGGTTGTATCCACCTACATCTCGAATCAGTTCCTGTTCACTTTTCCTTGCCTAATTTTGTTGGGTTGATGTCATAAATCATTGAGATTAACCTTCACTTAATTAGTAATTACAATAAAACATACGTAATTACAATACAACGAACATGATTCCGATCCAGTAACTTTTTAAGTAATCTTGATTACCGTTAAAAAAGTCATCAGTTTGCACAGAACAGTATTAAGGAGAAGATTATCTCTAGAAAAATAATTGTTTATTTTTCACTATCTCAAGTCTGCCAGTTTCTTTCACCTCGTGTTTTCACTTTTTCTTTAGCAGCTTGGTGAGATTTCTAATATTCTATATTTCGGTCTATCTTTTGATTACATTGAAAGTTTCATCACGCAACTAAACTGTAACGTCATCTTCTATGAAACGAGTTATAAGACCTCGATTAACCTTGAGTTTTATCTTCAACTTTTTGCTAGAACCCAGAGTGCGGTTAAATAGTTCTCCTATGACTTTTGATCAACATTTATTTTCACCATAATTCACCTAAATCCTAGTGGTTGTTATGCAAAGTGGATAAGTTGAGTCGAATTTCTAATAAAGTGTTAAGAGTTACCAACATTAACTAACGGCTAAAGCACTGAGAAAAAGTGCAGGACAGATTTTCATACTACCGCAAAAATAGCCAAAAAGTACTCTATGCAGTAAGTCAACTTGGCAAAATAACTGATTTGAGAAAAATGTAATGATAATCAGATTAATTCTTAGTACTTGAAATATCACCTTAAGAAACTAATTTATATATATGAGTTTCATGAAGGGTCTGATCTTATTTTTTAAAAAGAAAATCAGCAAATATAATACAGTGCGTTTATCGACCGTAACGTCCACCATACCTCAGAAAACAACAAACTAAAAGCTGGAGACATTAAAATTGATTTCATTCTCGGATGCTTATGTGACTATCCGAAATTGGATCTAACGTAAACGAGTTTTTTGCTCTAAGAAAATCAGGTTATTTTACTTACATACAAACCTGTCGTAACAACAGGCAAACATACTGTTTTATATGAAAGGTCAGTTAAAGAATTATAGATGAAAAAAAACAATTTGCTGTGGTATAACGTAACTTAATGTTTTGTCTATATGATGATAATCTTTATTACGAAATAATATCGGCTGAATGTCCATCAAAAATCGTGGAACATTAGACACATCTTTCATTTTAGTTTAAGGTGTTTTATTAATGAGTATTCATAATCTCATACATGTTAAAACCCTGTATCTTCAGGCATTGCAGGAGTCATTATACCATCAAACCAGTGAGTCAGAATTAAATGATCCACTTGTTCTGAAATTTATCAATTTGTAACACAAAATGACCATCATCCCATGCTATCTGTAATTAAATACCTAAGCCACAAATAAGTTTACACTACAGAAGTACAATAAATTCTGTTATCATTTAGATAGTAGATATTCTCCCGTCTCGAGAAATACACATTCACGATATGTAAACAATAGGCTTTTTATTTGGACATGGTTTTCATCGTCAGTCATGCAGATCTTATGAAAAGTGAATCTGTGGATAAGAGTAAGAAATTAATGACAGACCAAAATTCCAACAAAAGTTCAATTGAATCGTACATGTTAAAAGTTCGTCAAACGACTGATAGAAATTAAAGAGTTAAGTTTCATGAAAAGAACTTCAATCAATAAGTGTTAAAAAGTCAGTACTACCAAAATACTAGCTAAGTCATATAGTGGAGCTTTACAATATGATCAACTACAGATGACCAATGGTATCCCATCAGACAATTTACAAGAGCTCATCATTAAATATAACAACATTATTATCCCTTATTTTACATAAGCACACAAAAATTGATGATTGTAATCTCATCAAAATCAAAATGATTCTTAATAATAAAAAGAGGTTTCATGTAATTTTTAATAAAAACTTTAAAACCTTTATCAACTTCTATTCATCTTTACTGGTATCACATATGTAGTTTCTAATCAAAAGTTAAATCTTAACAACTTAAGTATCTGAATTATGTGATATATTTGCGCAATACATTTCGAACAATCTGATCACACATATACTTGTTAAGAACATTTATATATGAAAAATTAAAAGTAGAAATGAAGCTCTTGACTGATGCGTTAATTAATAATGGTTACCCTTTGAAGTTCATAAACCCCTGGAAGGGTTGCAATATGCCTAGACCTATGACACTTCTGGCACCCAAAAAGCGAGTTTATATTACACTACCATTCAGAGGTGACACAAATAGTCTCATATTGAAACAGAGACTTAAATTAGCTATCAACCGGACATTTTATGCAGCCCAACTTGTTATTATCGAAAAGACAAGGTCTATGTTTCACCAAAAGCCCAAACAGCATGAAAACGATTGTGTCACATCCCATTGTGTCTATAAATTTACATGTATGTGTGGAAACACGTACGTAGGGAGGAGCAAACGTGATTTGCAATTAAGAGTGGGTGAACATATACCAAAATGGTTGCAGAATCAGATGAATTCCAATGGTGAAATAAGATCACAGGATAGACAGACATCATCATCCATTGCGAAACATTTGATTGAAACGGGTCATAAGGTTGATATCATATCAGCATTTGTTGTCTTGTACAAAAGCCTTCAAGGATGTATACTAAAGTTTATTGAAGCCTTGGCTATACGGAAATTGAAACCCCCTTTATGTGTTCAAAAACAATTTGTACTTACACTTAACCTACCCTGGTAGTACTGATTTACTATCCAGAGTGGTAATCACATTTGTTTTTGTGTACTTTAATATTTTTCCTTTGTTACGACTTACCCTTAACCTGTCTAGTTGACCTTTTAATTTTTCATATATAAATGTTCTTAACAAGTATGTGTGATCAGATTGTTCGAAATGTATTGCGCAAATATATCACATAATTCTGATAAACTTAGTCTTCTCATTGCATTATCGAAATTTGTCAAAGGGACTAATTGTTTTAAACTTAAGTATCATTGAAAAGGGGAAAAAGATTAAGTTTATAATATTTTTCCGTTTAACAATCTGTTCCATTCGAATTGTAATAAGAATATTATTTCAATGAATAAAAATAAACTAATTTTATCATACAACATGATTGGTTAATTGTCATGATAAATAAAAATTAACCAATCACATGAGAAGAAACTTTGAAAAAAAAAACATTTTTTTCAAAAAAATGAAAAAAAAACAATTTTCATTCTATAAATCAACAGAACTTTTATCATAGTAACTTTTATCTTTAATTAAAACTGCATAGTTACTTACAGTAGACAATTACAACATGAATAAATGTTCTACATGGAATATTCTGTCTATAACAACATTAGTTATTTATTGTCTTTTAATTTCTTTAACAAATTCTTGGAAAATTGGTAATTCATTGAATGACATTTTATTTTTGTTGTTTTTTTAATTGTTTAGTTTTGTTAAACGTTTTAAATTAAAATTATTTTTAATTTTGTTTATGATAGGCACAACTAGAATACCAAATGATAATGAAGAGATTAGAATGGAATTAGAAAACACTCCTATAATGTATGAAGAAATAGAACCTACATTGAAACAAAAACAAAAATGGATATCTCAGGTAAGATATTTGTTAAGTAATATTCATAGGCTTCTTATGTATTTATATTCAACATTATTACAGATTAAATTGTTTAAATGATAATAACATTTAGTATATAACTGTAATAGATAAGTTCTTAATGTTTGTTAACAAAAAAATCTCAAGAATGTATGGTGTTTTCAAAATTGACGTCAGAAATTTTATTATATTTTGGAAAGTGACTATCATCTGGTTCTAAGACATACATTTTATTCTATTTGGAATTTATTAATTAGGTGTACTGAACACTTATTTTAATATTCCCACAGAAACTCCAATTCAGTACAGATAGGTTCAAAATTAAGATCACTGAATGTTGGCCATTACTATTTTTTTTTTAATATTTAGACCCAAAACTTATGTATTGTACCATTTCAAAATGTTATTTTAACAGGTTTACTCTGTTTAATTCCACTAGTGTTTATCACGTTAAGGTACTAAGGTTATATTCATAGAATAATATTTACTTATGTGATTTGAAAAAATACATTAGTGTTTTATTTGGATTTGGAAATCATCATTTAAACTACTTACAATACTTCTTCATTTGTCCATAGAAAGTCCACTAAATTGTCATTCAAAAAAACAAAATAAGATTAGAAAATTAGTTCACTGTTTAATAGGGTCGATGAAAAAAACTCATTATTTACTCTACGTTTGGCTAGACAATTATATGTTAAACAAAGTATAATTGTATACATCTAATTTCAAATCAGATTTTATCTAACTAAACGTGAAGTTTGATCATTCAATCAAGTAATTCATCATCTCAGTTTACATTTTTAATTTTTTGATTGAAATCATGAACTGATTGATGTTAGACCACCGTTGGAAACTTAATAATCTCCACAACCTTTATACTGGTACATTTTTAATGTCAGATAATTGTCGACAGTCATATTTAGTAGTTAGTGCTTACTCTATATTTGGGTTATTAAAATAAGTGGAAATTATTGTCTCAGTCACTTCTGGGAAGTATGCAGTACAAATACAGAACATGCTATCGATTATTAAAAACAAATCATTTAAAACACTAAACTACATTTAACGGGATCTTTCATCAAAACTTTCTTTTGATTGGATATGAATCAATCAGATGGATGTGAAAACATAATAACCAATATAAGTTTGTGAAGAATGTTGAGTTTAAATTGGTATCATGGATGATTCAATGTTAGACCACCATTGAAAACCTGAGAGCAGTGGACGGCCGTTCTGTCCTAGTATGGGACTCCTCACCAGTGCGTATCCACAATCCTGCACGTGGGAATCGAACCCAGGACCTTCGGTTTCGTGCGCGAACGTTTAACCTCTAAACCACTGAACTGAAATCCAACGGTGTTCGTGTCTAATTTCAACCAATCCATGATATTCCTCCACCGTCCACCATTGTGTTCAGTGAGTAACTGTCTTACACTAGACACAGTTGAACTCTACTAGCCATAATGGTAAAAACTAACTAAATATAACTAACAGCTTTTCACATGCTCACTTATCATTTCATGCACACAAAAGTTTTACTTTAAAAAAGACCTAACTATTATCATAGCAAATTCATTTCGTTACTCATTAATCAAGTTCTCAAACTGTTGTATACTAGAACTAGTTTTCATTATAAATGAATAACTACATTGAACAGAATGAATTAGTTTTACTTTAATATGAACTAGTTTTTTCTGCATACAAATTACATGTATTTACTTACATAATAAACATTTAATTCAACAATTATATTTAATATTTCAATACCTTATTTTTATGTGTGTGTGTGAGTCTGATCACATACTGTTTGTACATAAAGTTAATATTGACTAAACGACTACTTTTATTACTACCATTATTAACCTTGTAATAACTATTACTTTAGGGCAAGTGAATAAACATCTAAGGACAATAACTAAACAAATTAAATTTATTATATATATGATTGTTGATAATAAAACAAAACATTATACAATTATATTGAAACTTTTAAAAGATTCTATTTATCTTTCAATTATAAATGACAGTCAAATGACTTATCTATTCTATAATGGATCAAATTTAGAAAGATATAAAGATAATTGAAATAGTCATCTAAGCAAATAAACAAAATGATCCATAGAATAAATCTTTCATAGTCTTTATTATTTTTTTTTAATTTTAAATTTTAATTTGACTAAATGAATAATACAGTAGTTTGTTTTTCACTAACAAAAAACTATTTTCAAGGTGTGTGTGTGTGTGTGGAAATTATAGTAATTTTAATAATCAAGTTTACCTTGGAAAACCTGGAAGTATTGGATGATCCTGAATGCACACTGCTGAGAAATCTCACAATAGGAATAAATAAAAAAAAGGTTGTCTAGTGCTTTCAAATTTTCTATAATGATCTAGTTTCAATTGACTCATGATCTCAACTATTAAAAAAAATTATTTACTTACAAATTTGATTTTAGTTGTGTGTTTTTTCTTTCTCGACTCATGATATTGACAAAAAGTAAATGACACAATTTCTTTTCTTTTGTTTGAATAAAATAAAGACAATCCTGTGATTGTATAATGTTTATACGATCATTATCACCTCCACAATGTTTTCCTTTTCTTTATGTTTTAATGATAGTTGGATGATTGTTTGTTATTATTATTCTATTTTTGAATAAATTGTCAATTATTCTTGTTTTCTTTCAATGCTTTCGACTATTAACTACTTAAACTATAAAATTCTGTATCAAATAAATATTGAATCATAAAATTATTTCCTTTCAATAATAAGTGCTAAATACTATTGAATTCATACAATTTAGTTGGCAAACATTTTGAATTGTTGCAAGTAGTGAATATTCAAATCAATTTTTATTTTAATTACATATAACACTGGTTAGTTAGACAAATAAATTTGGCTTAGCATTACTAATATAGAAATACGTTAGATTTATAACTATTAATACTGTTACTTTTAAAATAAAAGCATGATATTTTAGTCAAAACATAGATTAAGCCCAATAATATGAGATGTTATTATTACTCTGAAGAAGTTGAGACAAATTTGTTGGACGAAATATTGGAATTATTTTAAATTTCAATCTCTGAGATTATTTCAAATATAATTTTCACGTATAATGACTTCTCTATACTCGGCGCTGAATTTTTATCAAAATATTAACGAATATTCGTATCAATATAGTTTTTAATTGGAAGAATACGATACCATAGAAAATATCACTTTATATACGGAAATTCAGATAATAAATTGTATAACTCGTTTATTTTAGTGCACAATAATAATAATATTACTCAAATAATTAATTTTAAACTTGTTTAAATAGTTGAGATTAGTCGATTACAAAACGCTTTAGTGAAAATAAATTACACTATAGTGAAGGTTAACATTTACACCACCAGGAAACATAGTAGTTTGAGAAAAACTAAGTTCAAGGTGTAAAGTAGGATTAAAAAGCATTAAGCTAAATTTTACATTAAAATGTAGCCTTTGTAATTGTTAAAACATTTTAGAAATAATCTGTTATAATAGTCTCATTCAAATAATAATGATTGATATGCAATATTGATCATAAAACAACGGGAGCATAAAAGCAGTTCTTTATTCTAGACGCCTATAACTAATTCCCTAACAATAAGTGAGTAGCATAAGTACTAAAAGAAGAACTCTTGACCCAAAAACCTTATTTAAGTAGGTTAATCTTAAGAGATATCTACCATACAGTATTATATGGATACTAAATACAATATCAAATTATTATTCCATCGTTTTTATTCTTATGTTTAGAATATAAATTCCGAAACCTGTCACTTTCCCTGTAAATCACTTCTTGCTCATTTATCAATTAAGAGTTTTCGTTCAAATAATGAGTTGTAACATTAATCATTTATCTCTAACAAGCATACTCTCTTCATCATTTAAAAGAGAATAAATATTATCATGCCCATGCACATAATATTAAATGGATAACATAACGTTTAATAGTGTTAATAAAATATTTATACTTTGTAATTTTGAAATAATAAAGTACAATTAATGCCATAAGGTAGAATAATTTACAACAAGGTTGAAGGACATTCATTATCGTGTAAGAATGAATTACATTTAAGTATCTGTTCATTGGTCAAATGACATACTTACGTAACAAAGTCTATGTCTATCAGTTTGTTCAACTACCAAGGTCTCAAGTATGAAATATTTTAGTGATGAAAAGTTCGAATTTGCTTAAAATGATTTAACCAAGAGAGCAAAATAGATTTGAAAGTGATGACTATCTGTTGATAAATGCAAAGTAGAATATTTACCAAATAATTATCAATATTCTATAGTATTTTCCAAGCTGAATGTTATGAACACTATTTTGTAGCTGAGAACAGAGCATGACTGAATAGACTTTCGTAAATTCCGAGTCGTTAAATTTTAAATTATCTCTCCTTCTGATTAAGATTATAGACTCTTTTGCAAACTTTAGATTTATAAGAAAGCATATGTCAGATGTATTTTAATTTTTTTTAAATAAATTTAATTGTCTAGAAAAAATTCAAATTATTTAAGTAGTTTAGTTCAGTTTAGCAAAGCAAGAGCAGCATATTTACAACAGAAGAACATCTGGAACTCAAAACAACTGTCAACCAACATTAAGGTCAGAATTTTCGATACAAATGTCAGGACGGTCCTACTGTATGGGGCAGAAACCTGGAGAACTACGAAAGCATTCATTGAAAAGACACAAGTGTTTATTAACAGCTTTCTACGCAAAATACTTCGGATCCATTGGCCAGATGCGAGAGAGAACAAACCAGATCCCAGAGGAGGAAGAAACCGGGAAAAAGTGCTGGAAGTGGATAGGAAACACATTGAGAAAAGCATTCAACTGCGTCACGAGACAAGCCCTCACTTGGAATTCTCAAGTCCGAAGGAGAAGACGAAGACCAAATAACACATTACGCCGAGGAATAGAGACAGACATTAGAAGAATGAACAACAATTGGATAGA